TGATAAAATTTTAGTCAAATGAAATACAAGCTTTCCACTGGTGGCAATCTCATGCCAAAAAGCATTCAAACCCTACATGTATCAGCAGGGTGACTGAGATGACTGTGGATGTATGGATATGCCTTCAGTTTGGTCCTTCAGAGAATCAGGGCTAGCATGTCCCCTACTTGGAACTCAAAGTCTCTGGTTTTTTTCAACAGTTTGGGCTTTAGGAGGCTTGCCAGTGAGCCAGGTGAGAACTCTCCTTCTGCAGATGAAGGTACTACTAAATATAATTGTTTTTCAGCCCAGAGTATAGATGCTTTGCTACACAAAGGGCTATTAACAGCAACCTGGTATCTAAAATTAAAAAAAAAAAATCAAGAAATTTGATAAAAATCAGCCCCAAAAATTCACCAAAAGAACAACCAAATAATTACAAAAGTAATTTGGCTAAGGGGCTGACAAATCCTAGCAGACACAGTGAGAATGATGGGAATTTGGAAGGTTGGGCTATCACTAGAATATACAAGCACTGCATGTCAGCTGCAATCAGTAAACAGTTCAAAAGAAGCAGAACTACTACCTACTTAAACGCTGTATTGATAGGCAAGGCATAGATGGTTAGACATCGAATCTGATCCTTTACTCAGTTAACATACTGTAGTGTCACATTTAATTTCAGAGCAGAGGACTGGAACTATTTTGCTAGTACTTTTTACCCAGCGTCTGTTTATTGCATTGCCATCCTTGGAAATGGGCATGCAGCACATCTGCTAAACCTGTTACCTTTTTTGTGGAAATCAGCTGGACGTGTTTTCTCTTACTATAAGCTCCAGGACAGGCCTGTATCTATGACTTCAGCTCAGCCAGTGGTAAAATCCTTTCTTGTGTTACAAACTACTATCAAACTGACAATAACTGCGGTAAGCCAGTTGGCTCACTCTACACCTGAGCTAATATGCTGAGTTAGTATGAATTTAAACACGGACCAGCATGACAATATAGAGATACCCATTGTTTCATCCAAATTCACTCTGACTGGATGCTACGGTATCAATTAGAGCAGAAAGCACCCAAACGGGTACACATACACATGTAGAGCTCTGCAAAATTCTGATGCATTTAACCCCCATTATATAATAAGGTATAGCACTCTACATTTGATTGAATCTGCAACAGAAATGTAGTGAATGGCAAATCCAAAAGCAGAGCCCTTTTTCCTACCGAAGGACAAGGAGGATCTGCTACAGATAGGTAGTGGTGCTGGTCAGGCATGGCATCCTTCACCAGGGAGTCAGTGCTGGAACACGTCTTCTCTTTCTGGTCTTCCCTTGCTATCGTTCTTGTAGGGTTTGTGCTCCCAAGTTCCCCACTACACCTTTGTGGCAGGGGTTGTCCTTGCAAGTACTTTTCTTACCCATTTTTAACCTACACACGTTGCTCAGTTACGGGGTTTAAAAATAAATATTCCTTTCTCTTGGTGTCTGATTGTTTTACATTAGTCAACTGCCAAACGGGCGACCAGCCCTGTAGCTGGAGACTGTCAGTTGCCTCTGTAACTGAGGACCCCTAAGCTAGATCAGCTGAACAAGAATCTGTGACCTCAATTGGTCCTTTGATCCCCTGTGTCATACACATGAATTTTTTCTCACTGACTCAGTCTGCCATTCAACCACAGGTACCCTTTTTTTGGTGTGACATTCTTTTTTTCTTGCTGTTCTTCATTTTATAACATTAATTTAGCACTATCACCAATTCAGTCATATTTATGTCAACCAACTAAAGATAATTTGTGTGAGTACTCTTGCGCTAGCTAACATTCTATTCTGTGGTCAGATATTGCAGTGATTTTCTTGGTCGTCTTTGAATCAGCTGTTAATAATAATAACATGAAAATGTAGTAGCTTAAATGCTTTTTACAAGAAACAAAATAATTGCATTTTCCTTTTTTTTTTTTTTTTTTTTTGCCTCCTAGTTGTAGGTGTTCCTTGCTTCAGGAAATAGGTACATATCTGGGTAAGTAACATCAGGTCATGGCGAGGCTCTTTAGGCAGGTAAGCTGTATCTTCACTGTTTGTGTTCTGTCTCCTGGCTTGTTGGGTGTCAAGGTTCTTGGGTCTTCTGCTCCTCAGCATGGCCTCTGACCATGACTTTGGCATAGTGTATCTCCCATTTTCTTTGGCTTCTGACCTTGGCTTGTCCTTGCTCTACCTCCAAACTTGTTAAGGCTGATTTGTAAACCCATAATCTTGTAGATTCAGGGTTCGACAGACTTTTTCTTTTAGACCTCTGTGGTCAGACCTTACTCACCCTGTCTGGTAAACTCATTTTGAAAGTTCGATGATTTTTCACAAACATTCTCAGGTCCTGGCTTAATTATTTTCCTGTTAGATTTTCTCAAACGGATCTTGGATTTTCCTTTGTGGAACTCTGTTTGCATTAGGCTGCTACTGGGAAGTGTCTTTCAAAAAGCATGGCTGGGAGCTCTGATTTGATGATAAAAAGAAAAATCAGGCTGCTCAGCTATGTCTTAGGTATGTGGTCACAGTAGAGGAGAGGCACTGTGGTGTCAGTGTGTAAGCCTCAGATAAAACTCCAATTCATTGAGACTTTTCTGAAGGATGCAGGACTTGACGCTTGTCAAATCCCAGTCCTAACCAGGAAAATTTTGTATTGTAAAGTATTTCTCTGTCTCTGAAAATGAAAAAGTTTCTGTCTGGTGATCCTAGAAAGCAAGTGCTCCCAGGTCCAATACAGAAGCAAGGTTAGTTTTCCCTATGCCTTTTTTTTCTCAAGAATAATGTTTTCCTTGGGTTATCTTCCTCTTTCTTGCTAACTTTTTCAACTATTCCTATGGGTCTAATTTATCTTTTCTTGTCATAAAAAGGGACAACTACTTGCTCTGGCCTCAGAGGTTCTGTTAGGCTCTCATATGCAAGGTATATAAATCTATCCTTATGCAACGTATATAAATCTATTCTTTTAAAAAATATTCTTATTATGCCATCTGTGAAATAAATTATTTATTAATAATAACTCTGTGTGTATTTTCATGGCAATTTGGCAATGTTCTGGTTTTTAACATATTTATTAAACATGACAAAGGATTTGGTTCTTTTGCATTCACTATTTAAAGGTCACTCATCCCTGGTTTGAGAATTTTAAAGAAAATCCACAAAACACAAACTTTTGCTTAATTTTTACTTTAAGTCTTCCAAACAGAAAGATTATATTTGTCCCAAATTACATTATTCACAAAACAGTGGTGAAAAATGTGGTTTTATACTTGGAAAAATTAGTATGTTTTACATTCATCCTGCAACAGCTGGTTTAGTCTGCCATTACATTTTTTTCAGAGTTGTTGAGGGATTTATTTAGCCCAATAGGATTTGTATTGATTCCTGTTTCACATTTTTTTTGGTGAGCTTTATTCTTGTTTTGTTGTTATATTGATTCTGAGAGCTTTAGGCATTGGAGTTATTACAAGTTTTGCTATATTTATGCTGTAATTCTACAATAATAAAGAACTTAGACCTTCACAGCTATTAAAAGCAAAACATCCCCCCAACAAATAAAAACCACCCCCTCAAAAAACCTGAAGTTACTACTGGTTTCCTGGAATCTGAAGTATCTCTGAAAAAAGTTTGCCATATTTCTTTTCCCCCATTTTTTTTTTTCAGGTGACTTAGGGTCATTGATTTATATTATTAATTGATAGTTATTGGATGCTATTGCTCATTCCACTTACCTGAAATGTATATGTAGAATGCTGGTATAAGCCAATGAGTTCTGTTTCTTGTCATATCTGAGTATTTAATCTATATGGACCGAGCAACTATATAAATATGAGATCGTTGCAAAAGAGATGGAAAGATTCTTGTAAATAAAAGTAACTATAACTGGATAAACACAAAGGTTAAAAATAATAATTCGTGATTTATTAACCAATACAATTAACATAAGCAAGCCCCCTTAAATGAATAAAATGATCAGGATAAACTGAGCCATCCTAGTAAATCCCAAATTTGTATCTGTTTCCAGCAATTAAACCCAGATATAGCACCCCTTTAGCTCTCTGTAGACAATCTGCTACGCAACTGTATCATTTTGCAATATGCCCTGAATTTGATCAAAACCCACAAGCAGTAGTTGCCTAACTTTGACTTGAGTCAGATGGTCCATAGAAGTCAGAGGGACTTAATTGTTTAAAATTAAGCACATTCTAAGTGGATATCTCCTGAGGAAGAGACAAAAAAACGCCTTATAAGGATGCACTGGTTATTAAGAATCATAACTGCAACCGCTGGGAAATATCCTAGTTAACCCCATAGATCAGAATACTCTTTAACACCAATGCTGCAGATCAAGCCTTGCCAGACTTCAAACTGCAATTGTGTCCCAAGAGGAAAACTTTCTCCATCACAGGCAGAATTTGGTCAGCTTCCAAAAGTGATTTATTCCTCCCTTCTTAATAAAACAACTTTTGTAGTTTTAGTGTGATAGACACCCTCTGTATCTTGAAGAGCTCTGGGTGTAGAAAAACTAGTGAAGAGTAATTCTCCATCCCACCCTCCAGGTGGGAAGCAGGTTGAAAATAATTTGCACACGCAGTTGGATGTGATGAGATGATGGCCACAGATAGAGTGGACTGAGGCTGAGCAGAGTGAAAGTTTTCGCATGGTCTTACTGTAAGCACCTGAATCATAAAGTTAGTTCCTACTGTGGGGTTTGGAACTGCTCTAGCAGTTATAAGTTCTACATGCTTGAAGGAATAGGGTTCCTTATTCAATGGAAATATTTCACTAATTCTCTACAAATGTGGACTTTTCATATAGAATATGGTTTTATCTTTGCTGTCAAGTGTTGAAGCTAGCACATTTTTTTTTTTTTTGTGGATTGTGGGAGAGAAAGAAAAGAAGACTTCTCATGTAATCAAAAGACAAGCACTAAGTAATGGACTGGCTTACCATCAATGGAGGCATCTATTGCTCAGTAGATTTGGAAACTATTCTGGACTATCATGCAGGATTGCTGGAGTTGAGCTGTTTCAGAGAACATGTTACAGAATTGCATTGTCAAGGTATAAACTAAATAGCTGCAGCTCCTGTTAATTATTTCTTAATGGTAACAGCAGTCTTCCTCTCAAATAAGACCATATCACCACCTTAAAAATAGGAGAGTGTTCACTCTAAAAAATAGTGCATAGAGAATAGAGCTAGTAATATAGGAACTCAGCTGTATGAGTAGTATGAGTATGTGCTGTCCATTCATGGGCAACAAAGAGGAAACTAGAGATGGATAGCTGTTGAACTTGAGGATAAAACACAAGAACTCCACCAGTTTTAAATGAATAACATTTTATTTTAATGAAAAGTAAAGGCAGATACAGACTCTGGCTTAATCAAACAAAAAAATTAGAGGCAAATCTGATAAAGCCTGAGTAAAATGGTTTTAAAATACTCAAAGATTAGCTTTTCTGACACTCCATATCATATGCCACGTTATTCACTTTTTTGAAGCTTTTTTTGTGATAGATTCTGTAAAAAAGAAAGAATTGAATTATAGAAAATGAAATCTAATGAGTGCAGTGTGTTCTTTACAGAGAAGTTTTTAAAAACTGAGCTGGGTTTTTTGTTTCTGAAGATTTACAAGCATAATAAAATTAATGGATAATGTACAAGTAAGTTACATTTCTCCAACAGAAGCCTGAAGCTGATCATAAAAGTGAGTAACACAAATTTCCCATGGCTGTTATTCTGCTGTTGATACTAGTGGCAGCTGCATTAGCTTAATCAGGGGCTCTGAAATGAACCTTTAAAACCCCTTTATTTCAAAAAATGGAACCTCAAATATTTTTTCTATTTGCATTGTTACACAGACTGACAATCAAGAAATTTGAAGCTGGGATTGACATGTAGAGAAAAAACACACTTTAATAAGTTTTTGTAAGGAATTTATGAGTGGACAAAACAAAATATTACATTAGAGGATGTTTTATCATCCTATTTCTCCATATTTCCATCTTCTATTTAACTGACAGCTGGAGGTAAAGATTAATTTAGCTCCTAAATGCATAATCTTTTCCAACTTTCAAGAAACGATTAGTACTAGTCCTCCAAATAGGTCTTTCTTGTATTAGAAATGTATCTTTAAACTCTTCTCTGTGCTTCCCTTTTCTGCGAGAAGTTATATTCCTGGACACTTGGAAATAATAGGCTAAAACAAATGAGAATTGGAGTGCACCTGCAATGCAAGGATGTTTGGCTGTGTACACAGTGTAAAAAACTGCTTATCTAAAACCACTGCTAATCATCTTAAATTACATCATTAAAATTATCAACCACTTAAGATACATAATGAAAATGACATACCATTTGCAGAATTTCAATTTCTGTTCGAAGGGTCTCACAGATACTTTCCCAATCATCATCTTTGCAATTTTCCAACTCTTTCTTAAGCCTGTGTCCAAAAACAAATAAATTTTCAGATCAGACAACTGTTGCTTTGGGGAACTATTTTTTTTCAGCTTTGGTCCCAGTTGTCACTTTGACTTATGTGAGAAACATCTTATTGATCTATTTGCATGATCAGGATTGAAGTTTGCTGGTTTTGTAGTTGGCAGTCCAATATGCTTCTTTCCCGCAACATTGTTGGATTTCATTCAGCACTGGCAGTTGTGACGGCACTATGAGGAACTTCAGAAAATGACATTTTGGGTTTCTACAAAGTATATCTTGAACTAAGTACTTCGTTAGATGAATTTCTGGACCATGTTGTTTTCATAAAGCATGAAAGATTTATGGCCTCATTAGTCATCATTTTCCTTATTTAAACATGTGAATTTGAATGTTGATACTTAGGAAGTACCATATGTTACTGTTCTTACTTCCCCTGCATATTCACTTGCAGCTGGCGGAGACAGAATATTGGATTGGATGGGTCCTCTGCCTGACCCTGTGCAGCCATTCCTGTGCAAACATTGCTCCATACCCCTCCACAGACTTCCTTTGCTGTTGCTGCTGTTCTCTCCCCACTGCTCCTATTATTCCTCAGTGCTTACTGACTGTCCCAGTACTGTCAGCCAGGAATTCTCCAACGTCTCTACAGTAAGGACAATTTTTAGCATAGCGATTTTTGCATTCAGAGGAGCATTTAGTCCTATTAAAAAGAGACGCCTAAACTTTGAACATCAGTGACTGTAGTAGTATAAATTAACACTTGGTAGGCCAAGAGAAATCTGTGCCAGAGCTTTTAGTAGTCTGATGAATACAAGGTGATGAGATTATACTGAGTCTTTCCATGGCTGTCATAAGGAAAGCATAATGAGAAAGCTGAAGCTGCTTACTCTCAATACAGTTTCAGCAAACAATGTGAATATTCTGGGACGTATGGACAGACTGAAAAAAAGGAGAAAAAGTACATATTCTTCTTATTAAAATTGATGAATCAAAGCAGGACCTTGTTTCTTCTGAAGTTGAAAGAGGAGGTAGCAACCATTTTTTCTTTTCTATACCGTAATAGAGAATAAATTCTTTAACTGTATTATATAGATGATGCACCTCTTTAGCTGTCCTACTGCAGATAGAGTTTGTTTTCTACACAAGTAAATGGCTTTATTGAAAGTAAAAGGTATTGTTTCATATGAGAGGAATGGCTTAGTCACCATGTGTCATTAGAATAGTAGCATAAGACTGGACTGTAAGTTAATTTTGCTGCTTCTGTGGAAAATATAGATATCTTACCATCAATATGGAAACAGTTTGAGCTCTGTGTGTTTGTATTACAAAGGACCAAATGCGTCTTCTTAAAGGAATAGCTCTCCTGCATTCATAATAAATGAAAGTGTTAAAACTAAAGGAAATTTTGAACTACACATTAAGAAAGGAAATATTCACTGTACTGTAGTACAGTGCTAGTTTACAGACCATTTTCATTGAGAGAAGTTCATTTCAAGGTCTAAAATCAGCTTCTGATCTTGGTTAAATCAGCTTAACTTCATTGCTTTGCCTTCTCATTTTTTCTCTGTGTTCTCTGTTAGTATGATATTAGAACTCTAATTTGTTCTTTTGACAAACAAAAGCCCAACTTTACCTAATTTACTTTAGGAAAAGACATAGTCTGTTAATCTCAGAGAAAATCCTCTCTCATTGTCTTCCACCTTGTAAAATTGATGCATAGCCTGTTTGTTAGTTGTCAGCTAAGAATGATACCAATCCAAGTTAGATGTATACTAATGATAGAAGATAAGCAGTAAGAGTTTCTTATCTGTGTCTTGGGATTGTGAATTAATTACTACTGATGATGAGCTTGAAAATGTAACTTTTGCATATGGATTTAAAAATGTTATTTAAAATATTTTATAAAACTTTTAAATGTGGTGACAGCACAGCTCCTTACATAGCATGGGGTAGTGGTGATAAAAGACATTCGTTCAAATGTGGTGTTTAATTTTTATATTAATCAGTTGGTTCTGCTTTCAGGTCTTCCTTCTTTCTTATTTAGAAGCTAGATAATTATAGTATGCGCCAGGAATATTATACTCACAAAACAAGGGCTGTCTGTTAGGTTACCGTCTACACAATTAATGCACTGGGGACGCCTGAGTTATTGAATAAATGATGAAGTTTTACTAGAAGGAATGTGAGACAATGGAACTATTAAAAAAATGCTCAACCTGGAAGCAGATTTAGCTTTTTCATTTTACATTTGAGATAAGCGCAATATTCATATTCATCTTTCCACTATCAGATTGAATATGCAAACCAATTATTCACAGAACTATACTGTATTGATGAAGGCAGGTGTTCTGTCACCTTCGGAAATGGAAAGAGATGTATCTTTTGCCAGAACAAGGATTAATATGACAATTATAGCCTCCTTGTTACTATGATAAAAAACAAAACTCTTAAAAAATATCTGAAAAATCACACTAGAATTTGGCTCTCCATGTCCTTTGTTTTTGTTTTATTTTTAGCATTTTGGTCTCCTTGATGACAATAAAATATATCTTTAAAAAAAGTCATTGTGCTGAATTAACATTGTATTGATAAGGTACAGCATCACAGGTAATGGGCTCTAGTGAACAGCTGGAGTTTAAATGCCGTATTTGTAAAAGGAGGTTTGACTATTCCTTTAAGAAATATTCAAGATAAATAGTGATAGCAAAACCTAGCCTCAAATCAAATAGGTGGGACAACAGCATGATCATTTTTTTGGTGCTAGCTTGCCCTAGACTGAGCTCTGCTGTCATTGGTCCATTTTCCATTACTCTTGAATGCCAGAAATGACAAAGAGATGAAGAAGGAGGAGATCACTGAAGACGATCGATTTTGCAGCTTTGAAATGAGCACAGCTATTAAATGCCATTGGCATTTGTGGTTGATACGCACTCTTCTTGAATTCCAGCTCTATATGCAGAAGGCAAATAGGAAAAATAATTGTGAAATCAATACATGCTGGTATTATGAACTGAACTATGATGAAAAAAATGTTTTTGTCAAACAGGTTTCTCTGAAAATCATCCACAGGTTAAAATTACTGGATCAAGATTTCAGTAGCCAAAACCTGCATTCCAAGAATAATTTTTTTGTAAAAGCGTCTCAAGGAAGAAATAGTTTGTGTTGAAGGCAAGGTGCATATGTCTTTTTAGAGCTTTTTTTTCTAGGTGGGGATGAAAGACCCTACCTGTTTACTGTTGGAGTTGCAGAAGGAGCAGACTGTCCCTTGGTTATGTTTTGCTGAGGCAAGTAAAATATTTTTTTTTGTACTTTCCTTCTTGTTTTTGCCTTATGACCACCATTTTATTTTTTAACCATAAATACAAGGGAAAACATTATAGTGTATCATAAAATGGAATTGCTTGACACTGTTATACAGGGCATAGAATTTATGGTACAAAACAAAGTTCCCTAAGAAGTTAAATATAAACTTGAGAGTATGTATGTTGATTTTCCTGAATTTTACCATAAAGGTCAGGAGAAACATTTATCAAGGTTTTAAGACTTTATTGAGACTGAAGAAAAGTATAGCAGACTTCAGTTTATTGTCTCAAGCCAAAGTAGAGCTAACGCGTTGAGGTCATTCAGTCTTAGTTCAGTATTGGGACTAAATTAATGTGTGCGTTTCTATAGTGGGAACAAGATTTTGCTGGGTATTTACAATTTGCTGACACTACTAAACAGAAAATGCTATTGATACATCTGAAGAAGTCAATAAATGTCAGACTATTATCAATTGATTGAGGAATGGAGAAAATGGGTCCTAAATGGAATTCAGTATCTCAAAACATAAACTCAAGCACTTGAGTTGAACAAATAAATTATAAAAGTACGTTGTTGATGGAGCAGAAATAGAATAAAAATTAAGAAAGTGATCTAGTAGTAATAATAAATGCTAGCAAGAAGATGAAATATGAAAGCGAAGAGGGTATTAGGCTACATAACAGTGGGAATTAAATGTAAATTAAAATAAATAGAAATGCCTTAATTAAAATAAGAAAATTTCTGCTTCTACTGTTCTGGATCAAATGCTGATTGTAAAATACATAATTATAATTTTTAAATGTATATTCCCCAAATACATAAAACATCACAAGACATCTTTAAGGAATCATAGAATCATGGAATCAGAATCTTGGAAAAAGAAAAGCACACTGAATTAAACTGCACATTTAGGACGAGATTTGCTTTTGTGCAGACAGCAAACCAAAGATATACAACTACTTTCCATAGCAACTGTAAGAACAAGTTGCACAGGAAAGAAAAATTGCATAGGCATCAGAGATGTCAAAACTGAAATGTGTTTCTAGGGGTCAACAAGATTCCTACTGAAAGGCAGGGAAAATAAATATGGGTCAATGGACCTTCTAGTTCAAATATCTTGATTTTTGTATTGTACAGGGAAAATTAAATATCAACCTGGATGAATTAATATGGCTACCCTACTGCTGAAATTAGTATTTCTATACTGTACTGCTTTGCTTCATGTGAACTGTGTAATTTTCTCAGAGTTTGAAAGGATTTAGAACTGTCCTTGTTTCCTTCTACATTATGGGCTCTCCATACTCTGCTCATCTTCCAGGTTGAATGCCTCTTTCTTGAAAAGTAGGTGAGAGATTTTTACACACTATTCTTACACCCTCCTGTTTTTTGTTGGAAATACGTCTTGCTTTTATCTTTTCCACTGTTACATATACTAGTTATCTTTTGATTATATAGTATGCTCAGGCCTCTCTTCTCCTTTGCTTCCAGGTACCTATTACCTCCTTAATTGTGTACAAGTACATAAACTTGCACTGCATGTAATTATATTCCTCCTCTTTTTTAGCAACTCCAGTCTACAAGGTCTAGAGTTTTTCAATTGTTTTAGACTATTGTCTTAAAACATTTTCTATTCCAAAGTCATTATTTAAAACATTAAGCAAGACCAGCTGTGACTGTAGGTACCTTTTCCCACCCCAA